CTCTATGTTTTGGACTCGGCCTGTGCTGACTGCACATTATCTCCCTCAACCATTTGACAAGATTGGCATTTGAATGCCCGCTTCACGGAAAAATCAGCTTTGAAAGTGGGAAACTGAAGTCATTTGCCTAATGTCGCTTTATTCTATCTTCCATTAACATGCAACAGGGTCAGGTGTGTGTTACCACAGTGTAAGCGGCACTGGTGATTCTCACTGAAATGCTTTCATTGAGTCACCAGTTTCCAGCTCCACAAAGTAGCTTGACAGGAGTTCTTTAGCAAAACTGAGAAAGTGGGAAAACTCCTTTGGCTATTCTGGGTTAGAGCAATTTAGTTGTACTCTTTCTTTCTAATGCCCAAAAACCTTTCCTCCCATCATCTCTAGTAGTAACCCAAATTTGGGATTGGAATATCTTATAAAAAGGAGAAAAAATATGCCAGACAAATCTGTCAGCCTTTGGTGTTCACAAAGCATGGGCTGAGTATCTATCATTTAGAAATGCTACTAATTCTAGGCCCTCTAGGAGAAACTAGAAGACCTGATACTCACCTTGGAGAAACTTTTATGTAGCATACTCACCCTCTGCCTGAGCCTCCTCTCAAAGGACAGCTTACAATGACATTAGAAAATACTGTTTTCAGTAAGACTGATGTGTTGGAGACCAGCGCAGGGCTGAAGCAGGAGATGCTTTCCGGAGTTTGTGTTATGTCATAAAGGTGACCTTCTATTCTATTTGCCCATATTGTCTTTAAGAATGAAAAACTCAAGACAGTGTGATGTATTAAGGGCAGATTTCTTTTCTGGATAACCATGAAGTAGAAAATACATTACATTGAAAGACGAAGGCTGGGTCTGGTTGCAATTTGTCTGACCGGCTGAGGGGCCTTAGATAATCCACTTCAGCTCCTTGAGTTTCATCTTGTCAATGGCAAAAGGAAATGATGACCCAGATGGCTTTTAAAGTTAGTTTCGGAAAAAATGAGAAGTGTGAACTTACTCTTTTATTCCATGAAGCAACTCTTTCCACCATGTGTGTGAGATTGGATCCTTGACATGAGCTGATAGGAAAAGTATGTTTCTTCATTTGCTGTCTGCTAAAGGATGCCCAGGTTACTGTCAGCACCAGTACCAATGATCTGAGTTTATCGTAAATTATGTTTGTCCTCCAGTTACATAACAGATAGTGCTGGGCTGTGATAAGTAGAGGTTGCAAATAGAGAGTGAATTTAAGAGAATTGTGTCAGGGCTGAGAAAGATACAACAGCAAGAGCTGTTATGTCTGAAATGAAAGTGATATTTTTGAGGTGAGGTAACCCAAGCTAATTTAAAATATTACTCTGAAAGAACAGGAAGCAGATATAAAATCATAAGCAGAAGAAATTCTTTGGCATATCTTTGTGCACAATAAACAAGTTTTAATGTGGAAAACAAAAGCCACTCAATAATTGTGAAAGAAATGTTAAAATAGTTTCTTGTTACTGACATACCCTTTTCATAACTGAAAATAGCTATAAACACTTTACATTTTTGAAAAATTATTTTCAAAAATGGTCATTTTAATTGTTAATGTCTAACGGTGTGCACTGACTGCTGGCTAGGATCCTCACTATGCTATTGGGACTAGAATTCCTCATGTATCAAATTTCCCATGCTTGCTTGTGTCTCAAACACTAACCTTCAAAGGAGATGCATATATTCCAATGCAGAGGCCCATTGTTTCCTGTTTGTTTTAACTCTTGTTAATGAATTTTAAAAATGTATCATTTTAGTTCTGATCATGTCCATAAGCACTTTGTGAGTGGACTTTAATTTGGCCAGCTCACTTCAAGGAGAACATCTTAATAGCTATTGATGATTCAGTAATGAACGGGTTAGTATGCTTTATTGAAGTTAGGTAAATCATCCATCAATTTAAATGACTGAGAAACATAATGAATCCTGCTTGATGAGCTGTTTCCTATTTTGCCAATATTGTAAATTATTTGTAGGGGAGAAAATATGTTTAGTCTAAAAATTTTAGGGAGCCACAAAAAAAAACTTTTTTGTCTAGAAAATATAAGTCCCACTAGTCAAATATTATTTTTTGGGAAATATAAGAATTCAATAGAACATAAATAACTGTATGCTAGGATGGAAAATAGGGAAGAAAGAACCTTTTGATGAGATCAATAAAAGAGCCACATTACTACAGGAGGTTCTTAGCTACTTATCTGCCTTTAATTGCTGGTCACACTCAAATAAAATATTTACAATTGCTTTGTATTGGGTCTTTGATGATTGAAATTTCAGATATAAGTAAACATGGAGAATTCTGTGTGGAGAAAAATTTTAAATTCAGTATCATCCCTGTGTGCAGTCTAGAAATTATTTCTAAAGATAAAGAGACTCCATCAACTGAGCACCTCTTAAAACTCAGATTCTAACTGATAAAGTATTTCTTAAAAAATATTTTTACCAAATCACCTATGTCCAATGCAACTGTGTGCAGTCAGTGAGTAGTAGACAAAAATCATGAATCATACACCAAGGCAGGGATATCTTTAGTCATTTTACTTGAAAACATAAACCAGGTAGGTTTGAAACTTCACTTTGATATGGTGAAAAACTCCCTTCATGTAAACCTTTCACTGGAGTTTTCCTAAAGTAAATTTAATTTCTTCAGAAAATATCCTAATGTCCAAATCATATATGGTTTATTGTTTATCTCCCTAGCATTGTTTTTAATCATGTGTAAGCTACGGTTGCATCTGCACATGAGAAGTTAATGAAAGAATTTCAACCAGAGACCACATAAGCAAGGCTGGAGTATCCGGTCTTTCATACATATTTATTGAGTACTCAACTATGTATGAGGCCTGCTTTCAATGCTAATAAAGATGCAATGGTAGGTTACTTAATGAAGCCACTGTACTTTGCATTAGTCATACCAGAAGGGGAGAAATGTGTATATTTTTATATTTCTTATTTTAAATGTTCGACCTGGGGATTAAAAACATATTTTATGGGAAAGGGATATAGAAATGAATTAGTAATGCTAACCCTGAACAAAAAGCTCAGTACAATCAAGATAATAAATCCAAAACCCATGAGGTTAAAGACTAATTCTGTATTATTCTCTCAACTGCTTCCATCCTGGAATAAAATATTTAATAATTATCTGTGGGATGAATTTTTAATGAGAATTCAAGTTAGAGAAGGATTACATATGTTTTGTGTAGTTCAAAGAAGCAGAGGCAGGAGTAAGGCTAGAAGTTGATCAGCCCCACATTCTGTTTTTCTGTAAGGCAGACCTAGCCTCAGAAGGGTGGCAGCTTCAGCAGCAAAGTGCTCAACTTACTAAGAGCAGAAATAAACGTTCAAGCAAATGTGGACCAGGTAGTTATTGATGAAATGATTTCTGATTTGAGTGGTGGGTTCAATCAAATAGTTTCCAATATTCTATAACAGTATAAAGTGAAATTACCTTGACAAATTTTACATGAATTATCTTGGTAGTTTATCAGAAACTATTTTTGCAGGCTTGTTTCAATTTTCCTTTTTAATATATCTGTGAGAACAAAGCATGATAACTCACATAAAGAATCAGCCCTGAACTCTTGATTTATGCTTCAGGTTGTTTTTGTTCTTAATGTGAAAATGGTTCATTGAGGGATGAAAGCACAGAAATTCAGCCTCTACTTAGCCATGCAGCCTTAGGGTTAAGGTCTGTAGGTTACACAGGTGGAAAAATCCCTTAATTAGCTACTTCAGGAACCCTGTTCCCCGTTATCTGTGATGCATGCTTTTGTTTAACCCTCATGCTGATTTTCCATGATCACTCTGTGCAGGCCACCTTCAGGAGCAAGTGAGGCAGTGAAGCCACGTGGTGGTGGCAGGCCAGCTGACCGTCTGTCCTGACACTTTCTCAGCTACTTTTGGAACAGTGAAAAAGTTTCACTGACTGCACAAGTCAACAAAAAGAGGTGTGATTGGCAGCTGGACCTGGAGGATTGGAAAGTTCAGAATGAGGAGAGAACTTGACCAAATTCCACAGTCTCAAATCTGATCAGACAGAATCAACTTTATTTTTATTACAGAAAAAGAAAAGAAAAAAAACAGCTAAAAGAACCACCACAGTTTCAGTGCACAGTAACTAAATGTTTATATACAAATTATAAGTCTTTTCTTAAAAAATATTTCTCAAAATTACTTTAAAAGTTTCATAACATTTAATAAGTTAAACCAGTAACTTTAATATTCTATTACATTGTGCTTAGTAATAATATTAACCGCAGGAGTTCTTAGTGATATGCTTTGTTGTTTTTCTATTTGAATTGACACACAGGAACACATACCAGGATTACTGGTCAAGTTAAAAGTGACTTTAGGTAAAATAATTTAAGTAGTCCACATATGAAGGAAACCACTGAGCCAAAAGATTAAAATAATAATAATAATAATAATAATAATAATAATAAACAATCACAATGTTTGCACAATTATAATGAATTAGGGTATTTTTAGATACAAAATTGATTTTATTCTTATTTCCATTATCAAAACGGAAAGACTGGGAAATTCAGAACTAAAACAACTGGCATGAAACAACATGAACATTCCTAAGTGGTAGATGATTTAACCCTAAGTTCTGCCTTTTATCTACTATTCTCTCACACCTCTATTTCTAACTATAAGTTAGAAAATGAAATCACCAACAATTATCACAAATAAAAAAATAAACCAAATGCCTGTGTTGTAGTCAGGGGTTGTGAGGAGAACAATTAGAATCAGTACATGGAGTTTACAGTATTGCTTTTATGATGGTCACCCAGAGTTAACACAAGAAAATACAGAAAATCTATACACAACACTAAACATACACTAGTTAGCTAAGTGCCTGAATCCCATGGTAATGTCTGACATGAGTCCAGTTGAAGACCCAGAGCCCATGACAATGCCTCCATGAGTTCAACTGGAGGTTTGGAGACCACCAGAAGGACTCACGCAGGTCTCTTTTACAGATCCATGCTGGGAAGGCCCAAAGGTCAGCGGTGGAAGCCAGAAAGTCCATGCCAGCAAGGTGAAGGAGCTGTGTTGGTAGGTTGAGGGTTCTAGGCTGGAGCCGAGAAGTCACACTCACAACAAAGACCAGAGTTGTCCTGAAAAGCACTTCAGCCATCCTCAGCGACACAGAGGCCCTTAGCTCCTCCGACGATAAGCACTGTCGAGTACATGCCAGGAAGCCAGCATGATGAGTTTATCCTGGAGACCGAGCAGCACACGTCTTCCCCTCTGGAGCCAGAAAGCAATGCTCAATGTGAGGACCAAAGCTTCGCCAGGAAAACCAACAGCTCAAACAGCAACTTGTAGGAGAACCCACAATGCCTCAAGGCCCCAACGCACCTCCCTTCTCCTTATCTCTATTTATGCTAGTAACTTTCCCCAGGTGAAACATCTGCACTCAGCAGCCTGGTGATTTAATTCCACTGGCATTAAGTTGATCACCAGTTTTTAATCCATAACAGCCTGATAAAGAATTTGAAAGAACTATTATTTTTTTAAACCTCAGTAGGATTCATGAGAATATAGACAAATAGTTAAGCAAAATTAGGAAGACAATACAGATTATGAATGAACAAAATCAGTAAATAGACATTTTGAAAAAAACAAATATAAATCATGAAAGAGCCAATTATATAATTGATACATCAATCGTATAATTGAGACTTCAATAAGAGACTAGACAAACAGAAGAAACTTGTGAATTTAAAGATAGATCTTCTGAAATAGACCCCAAAACAGTCAGACAAGAAAAGGAAGAAAGGGAGAGAGGAAGGTATGGCAGAAAAAAGGAATGAAGAAGGAAGGAAAAAGGAAGAAAGAAAGAAGAAGGAAAAAAGTATTTAAGACCCATGAGGAGAAAGACTGTGGCATACATATGTTCAATAAAGAAATAGAAAATTCCTATAATCTAGGGAAAGATATAGACATCCACATACAGGAGGCTTATAGAACCTCAAATATATATTACTAGAAATGATCTTAACTACGGTATGTTATAGTAAAATTATCTAAAGAGAAGGCAAATAATTTTAAAATCTTTAAGGGAAAAATATCAAATCACATTGAAGTACAGCTCTATACAACTTAACAGCCAAATTCTCAAGGGAATTATGAAAGAGAATGTCAATAAAGATTATTATACTCAGAAATAATTATTCAGGAATAAGAAGAAACAAGGATCTTGCAAGACAAGCAAAAACTGAGAGAATTTATGAACACCAAATGTCTAACTTACTTTTCCCCATTGCTGAGACAAAATACCTGGCACCCAAAGTTAAAGGAGGAAAGATTTATTTGGCTCACAGTTTGTAGAGGCTTCGGTTCACAGTTGGCTGGCTCTGGCAGGGTGGCATCACTGAGGGTCATTAAGGAGAGAAATAGTTCATGGCAGGCAGAAAATAGCAAAAGGAAGTAAGCAACAAACAACAAGTGATAATAACTGTTGTATTCTAACAAGGCTACCCACTTTTGGGCAGGTACTAACCCAGTCAGTTTGCTAATTTAGTAATCACCCATCCTTAATCCCAGCACCATAAATTCTAGACTGAGCCACCTCTAAAAAGAGCCCTCTTGTGACTGCATGAGGCTTTGGGGGAACATCTAAACACAATCCATAACATAATATAATATAACATAACATAACATATAATAGATTTATAAAAGATGCTTTGTGAGGCCCACATCCAGAAGTCAAAGAAAAATAGCTACCATTATTAAAACATAGGAAACTATAAATCCTACTAAGAGAGTAGATACATAAAAGATAAATGAAAAAGAATCAAACAATATTACAACAGTAGACAATAAAACCACACAGATGAACAAGAGAAAAAGAATAGAACAAAGATCATTTGATATAATTAGAAGAAAATTGACAAATGATAGGAATAAGACTTCATTTAATATTATCATGAATGTGAATGGAATGGATTCCCCAATTATACAGATTGGCTGAATGGATAAAACAACATAATGCTAAGAGAAAATCATTGTGCCAGTAAAAGTATACAAAGAATGAAAATGAAAAGCTGGACATGATGTTCAAAAGAAATGGAAACTGAAAGAGAGGAGTAGCTATACTAAAATTGAACAAAATAGATTTCAGGACAAAAAAAATGATAGACTAAAAGGTCACTGTATAATTATCAAGGGAGTAATTCAATGCTATAGTGATTGTAAATTTATAATCATCAGATATATGGGGTTCTTAGTTTTATGAAATTAACTGGAGCAGGAGACATAGGCTACAATGCAATAATAGTGGAGGATATCAACACCCCAATTTATCAAAAGATAGATTATCCAGATCCCCCAAAAAGGAAGCATCAGATTTAAACTATATAGATCTATATAGATCAAATGGACTTAATAGTCATTTACAGAACATTAAATGCAACAGTTGTGGCATATACATTGCTTTCATCAGTGCATCGAACTTTCTTTAGAATAGACCTTTTATTAAGCCACAAAACAAGGATTCACAATTTAAAAAAAAAACCCTCTGAGATCATATTCTACTTTTTTCCTATCACGGTGGAAAAAATGGAGACATCAACAACAAAAGAAATTTAGAGATTATGCAAATGGATGGAGACTGAACAATACCCACTTACACAGTTGATCTTTCAGGAAATCAGAAAGAATATTTTCAAAAATTTTCTCAAAGCAATTGCAAATGGACACACAGCATACAAAACTTGTGGGATGCAACAAGAGCACTAAGAGGGAATTTTATCACAATGAAGGTCTACATTGACAAATAAACAGGGGCTGGGGGTTTAGCTCAGCGGCATAAGTGCCTGCCTTGAAAGCAGGCAGTCGTGAGTTCGATCCCTGGTACCGATAAAAACAAAAAAGACCAAAAAAAAAAAAAAAAAAAAAAAAAAAACCCAAAAAAAAAAAAAAAGACAAATAAACAAAATAAATAAATAAATAAAAACAAAGAGAAACGAAGAATGATTTTAAATAAAGAGCCAAACAATGCATCTCAAGGACTTAGAAAAACAAGAAGAAGCAAAACACAAAATAGTGGGATGGGGGTGTGTGGGAGATAATTTGAGTAACTCCCCTTGAATGCAGAACAATTGCTGCAACTTTGATTATATTCAGACTTATCCCCTTATACTGATATAGACAGAGTGGACTATGGTATTTCCTTGTCTCTTCAATTGGCTCTAATTATAAGGCTAGCAAGGTACTGGTATGTAATCTCTAAAGCCATCACACAGTCTCCTGTTTCCTGGCATAGTGCTCTCTCTAAAATATACAAGCACAGCATGACGGTAGAGCCAGTCAGTTGCAGAAATGTCACCTCAAGGGTGACATTTATCTTGGGTCACTTATCTTGAGGGTATGAGCCTCAAGATAAAGAAGCTATGACTCCCCGGGGCACAAAAGTTTATATATCAGAAACTGAAGCAATAGCCACCAAAAACAATTCAGTTGCTACCTTAATTCAATTATGCAAATTGATTAAACTGATACAGAGGATCATTGAAGATTACTATGAAAGAAGAAATTAAAAATTTCTTTGATTTTGACATATATGACCCACCAAAACTGAACTATGAAGGCATAAAAACCTGAATAGAGTAATAAGTAATGAGATTAAATCAATAATAAAATGTCTTTTAACAAGCAAAAGCCCAGAATTGTATGGTTCTACTGCTAAATTTTACCAAAGAACTAATGCTAATTCTCAAATTATTCTACAAAATCAGAAGAGATATAACACTTCTCAACTCGTTCTATAAAGCCAGAAGTATTAACTATTACCAAAACCAGACAAGGATACAAGAAAGGAAAACTATAGGCTAATATCCTTGATGGATAGAGATTGAATTAAATAGCACATAAATAAATGACTCATCATAACCGAGTTGGCTTTATCCTGGGGATGCAAAAATGTCTCCACATACACAAATCAATAAACAATGTATGATATCAACAGAATAAGGGTAAAATTCATTTGATTTGATAAATATTAACATTTCTTCATGATAAAAAGCCCTGAAAAGAGGTATAGAAGAAAAATACCTCAACACAGTTTTTATATAGCAAACTTACATCCAGTATCATATTAAATAGGGAATAACTGCAAATTTTATCAGGAGCAAGACAAGGATACCCAGTCTCATTGTTCCTACTTACTATAGTGCTAGAAGTTTTAGTGGCAGAAATTAGTCACAGCAAAGAAATTAAAGGTATACCAGAAGAAACAGACTAAGTCAAATTATCCCTGTCTGGAGATGACAAAATTTTCTATATAAAAAAACTATGTAAATATTATAAACTCCACCAAAAAACTACTAGAACTAATAAACAAGTAAATTGGCAGGATACAAAATCAACACACAAAATTGCTAGTTTTTCTATATATCAATAAAAATTTGAGGTCCAGAAGAACATGGCGGATAGATAGCAGCAGCCTCTGAGGCTCTCTGAGAAACCGCACTTGAAATCTAGGAATGGTGCCAGACAGGAAGTCCCAGGCAAAGGGGGATATTCTTTGCTGACCCAGGAATGAACTAAATTAAGAGAAACCATCTGGAAACACAATCCTGGTGATACAGCAAGCACAGATAAGGTCTCAGCACAGAAGCCGGACCCGCACCACTGGAAACTGTGATTTGAATTAACTGCAGCCGCTGTTGCGTCCCGGTTGGCACAGTGGGGAGAGAGGCGCGAAAGCTCAGAGAGTGGGAAGCATTGAAAGGAGTTGGGAGCAGGACTGGCCAGGTGCCCTGCATCGACCTGCAGTGAGTGAGCAAATTGGGACCCTTACATAGAGAAGGAGGCTTCAGTGGAGGACATACTTGGACTGGGCAGACTTCCTGGAATGAGAAGCTGCAGTGACTTCAGTCACATATCCCTCTCTCAAGCGGGATTGGTGAGGAGTGCCTGGCCTGCGAGACACCACTGGCTGAGACCCAATAGGCTAGCCCAACTCAGGTCCCAGCACCTGAAGGTGCACCCTAGTGGTGGAGCCTTCAGTAGGTTGACCTGGAGAGGCGGGCCCAGCAGAGGCTCCCCAGGTCTGTGTCTCCCTAGTACACTGCAGTGGGCGGGAACACCTAGCCAGCACAATTCAAACAGACTGTGGCTGACAGGGAAGGAAGCTGGGCCTCCTATACATGCTTAAATATAAGGAACAAAGAATATGGGAAGAGGGAACAACAAGAAAGGGTCCTCGGCCCCTAATCCTGAGAAACACGCAATAGCAGACACGGCACCAATAGACGTAAAGCGCTATCTCCAGAGCCTCATAGACAAGTTCAGGAATGAAGTTATTAATGACCTGAAGCAAGACATAAGCAGAATAGTTAGAGAAATGTTAAGTACCTCCCAAGAAAAAAACAGATGGTGGAATGGAAGAGCAGAAAAAAAGGGGAGAATTGTTTGATGGAGAAGATAGAGAAAACATAGAATACATGAAGCAGGTTCAAGGAGATTACCAGGAAACTAAAAACTCTATCGAAAACTGGCATAACAGCTTGAAAGAAACTAAGGACAGATTATCTGAACTGGAGGGCAGATTTGTAATATGAGAGCATGAAATGAAAAACTTCTTAAAAATAACAAAAAAACAAACAGCAACAATACAAAAACTAGAAGATGATAAGAGGGTCTATAACTTAAGAATTAAGAACACAAGAGAAGTGGGGACACAAGCAAATGAACTATAAAAGCTATTCACAGAATTAATCCAAGAGAATTTCTCTAATTTGGCAAACGGTAAAGATACTCAGATATATGAGGCATACAGGACTCCAGCCACCTACAACCCAAACAGAGCTACACCCAGGCATATAATAATCAAAATTCTAGAAATCCAATATAAGAACAGAATATTAAAAGCCGTCAGAGACAAGAAACAGATCACTTACAAGAAAACACCTAGCAGAATTACAGCAGGCTTCTCGGCACAAACCATCAAATGATGAAGAGCGTGGGGAGAAATAATTCAAGCTTTGAAAGATAACCACCTCCAGCCAAGATTGATATATCCTGCACAACTGTCCCTAGAAATTGATGGAAAAACAACATGCTTCCAGGATAAAGAGGAACTAGGGGAATTTGCAACACTAATTCAACTCTACAGAGAATACTGCAGGATAGTCTAAAAAAAGAAAATACCAAGATTCCAGAAATAGTGGCAGAGAGGCCACAATGAATGGAGCAGAAAGCAAAATGATGAAGACAAACTGACAACAAACGACAGAAAAAGAGCCCAACAGAAATGAGACAGAGAAGATTGGAAGGTAGGAACAGCAATTTTGGAGAAAACGTCATCATAATAGTAGTGCTGATTTAGTATCATCTTGTTTTGAAGTCCCATCAGACGTGTATTCTTCAGTCTCCATTGGTCTTAAAAGGTTGTATCTTATTGGATTTTATTATATATGATAATATAAGCAAAAACTTTTATAGACAAGGAGTTTATATAGAAACCATTGTTCATTTTCTGTCAATTGGTTCTAAATACCCTGTAATAATGTCATTCTCTTGAATGGTTTTATAGTGTCTTGATATGTTTGGTGCTACAGTATATGAAGTTATACTCAAAGATTTCAAGGAAAGAGACACTATGGTAACTATTTTTATGTCAGGATATCTTGTGGTGAAACACTATTTTGCTTAAATGGTTATGATTTGACCTGTGCTGTTCTTTTGTTATGCCCTCTTTTATCTCACCCCCCCTTTTTTAATTATTTACTTTTTTCATTTTTTTAATTAAGGGAAAAATAAAAAATAGCAGGATACATTATAGTAACCTACTTTGATTTCCTATTAACTTGATTTGAAATCCTGTATTGCCCTCACCATCTTGTTTTGACTGATTTTCCCCTATTCTGCTTTGCTTGATAGTACCAAGTATAGCAAAACTGTGAAGACAGTAAGAATCATTATGACGCTCATTCTGGTTGACTATTATTTTCTTTTAAAATCCTGTAATGTCTCCAATGCTTTGGTTTTATTCTTTCCTATTTAGCTCAATTTTATTATAACTGCCAATTCTTCTTAAAATAGCAAGGGGCAGTGTGGTAACCATTGTTGATCACCTTATATTTTGTTTTTACATTATCTATTATGTCCATCCTTTTGATTTGACTGACTCTGTTCTGATATGTCGCATTTGGTTTTACTCTCTTCAAAAAAAGTAATAAGAACTGTAGGAGTAATAAAACCCAAAATGTGTAATTGTCATTGTACAAAAAAAGAAAAGAAAAGAAAAGAAAGTGCTCTAAAGGTTATAACAGCATATATGTTTAAGTGTATAAGATAGATAACCATATTACTAAGTATTTTTTGGATCACTGAACAAAACTGTTTGCACTCTCACTGTTTGAAAGTCCACTTTATGTGCTTCAATTTTGTAACTTGAACAACTATTTCTAAGACGAGAATATGTAATCTATTAACTGGTGATTTATTACTGTTAATTTTTTTAAATTTTATGTTACTTGTACCCTTTTTGTTTTTTTTTTTTCCCTTTTTCTCCTTAAATAAAAAAAAAATTGCTGAGAAAGAGACCATGAAAGCAATTCCTTTCATAATAGGAACTACCATGAAAACAAAATATCTAGGATAAATTTAACAAAGAAAGTAAAATGCAACTACAAAGTGAAAATTATAAACAATGATGAAAAAATTAATGAAGATAGAAAAGATGGAAATATCTTTCATGTTCATGAATTGGAATTATGTTGTTAAAATTTCCATATTACCCAAAGTGATCTATAGGTTCAAAAAAGTCTCCATCAAATTGCCAGGAACTAGAAACACATAATCTTAAAATTTACATGAAGGCACAAAAGACCCTAAATAGCCTGAGCAATCTTGAGCAAAAAGAGCAAAGCTGGTGATGTCACAATTTATGATCATATTACAGAGCCACTATCATAACAAAAACGTGGAGGAAGTACAGATGAGCAAAAGAAGTATGAAGAAATCTTCAACACTACTGGTCACTAGAGAAATGCAAATTAAAATAAAACTGAGATTTCATCTTATCCCCAAAATAGTCAGCATTAAGAAATCACATAATAACAAACACTGGTGAGGCTGCAGGGAAAAAGGAATCTTTCTACACTGTCTGTGGGAATGTAAACTACTGCAATCAGTGTGAAGATTATTTAAAGAATAAAGCTAAAAATTCCGTTTGACCTAAGTATTCATTTCTCTTACGGGTATCTTCCCCTAACGAACTAAGGCCATCATATTATAGTGATATATGCATACCTATGCTTATAACAGCACAATTCACAACAGCTAAATCTTGGAAGCAGTGTATATATATCTGAACAGAAAAATGGATAAAGAAAATGTGGTTTTTACACACAACGTAGCATCTAAAGAAAGATGAGCTAGAGTCATTTAAGATCACAATATTAAATAAATCAGAAACACCAACTCAAATATGGCATGGTTTGTCTTATATGAAAAACAAAATTATAAATAACTAGCAAAGTAAAAGATACTAGGAAATAGGGAAATAGATCTTTCAAATGGGAAAGGATGACTCGATGGAGAGAGGTAGAGAAGGGAAGGGAGAGGAGAAGAAGGGAATTAAGTTGTGTTACGTACATGTACTTCCCATGAGGAATGTAGACATTGTGTACTGCAAACATATACTAGTAAAAAGTGACAAATAAATAAAAATTAGTAAATAGACAAGTAGAAAATAGATGAAAGATCCCAGGAATAAACCCACAGCCAATTGATTCTCAATAATGACATCAAAAATAATGACACAAACACTGGAGAAAAGACAGCTTCTTCAATAAACTGTGCTGGGGAAATTGGATAACCATAAGCAGAAGATTATCTAAAAAAAAAAAAAAACCCAAAATGGTTTAAAAACCTAAATGTAAGATCTGAATCGCTGAAATTGCTGCTAGAAAACATAGAAAAACAGTCAAGATACTGTTACAGCCAGCATCCTTCTGAATAGAATTCCCAAAGCACAGGAAATAAAAGCAAAAATAAACAAATGGGATAATATCAAATTAAAAGGCCTCTGTGCAGCAAAGGATACACTTAATAGTAGGGGGACAAACTACAGACTAGGATAAAATATTTGCTACCTATCTATCTGTCAGAGGATTGGCATCTCACATATAAAAGGAACTAAAAACAAAATCAAACAAACAAACAAAAACCCAAGTCAAATAAACCTGGAAAACATAACAAAATACAATTTAAAAATAGAAAAATTACTTCTCAAAATAGAAAATATAAATGACTAGCAGACACATCTAAAAAGACAATATTTTGAGTGATGAGAGAAATGCAAATCAAAATCATAGTGAGGTACCATCTCATCCCAGTTAGAATGACTTACCCAAAAAGAAAAAGAAAAAAAAAAAAAAAAAAGCTGGAGAGCATTTAGAAGAAAGGGATCTTTTATTCACTATAAATGTAATTTAGTACAGCTTTTATGGAGCACAGTATGGAAGTTCTTTAAAAAATTAAAAACAGATCTATCATATCCAGGTATTATTCTACTGACTATACCTCCAAAGAAAATGAAGTCTGCATAAATCAGAATCACCAAAGAGATACTTGCATACCCCATATATTGTAGCACTGTTCACAATAGCTGAGTTAGGGAATCAGACTGGATAAAGAAAATATATTACATATATATTATATCATATATATGCAATAGCTTTAATAACCAATCACAAAAAACAAAACCCTGTGATTTGCAGCACATGGATGAATTAGAGGACATTATGTTAGGTGAAGTGACATGGAAAGGATGCATGCTTTTCTTGTACTTGTAAGTGGAATCTAAAAAGATTTGACCAGAAAGTAGAAGAATGATTATCAGAGACTGGGAAGGATATGAGAGGAGGGTGGATGAAGGATGGTTGGATTTGATCAGTGTACACTGTATGCCTGTAGGAAATATCAAATGTATCCTCGTTAACATATACAGCTAATATGTTTTAATAAAAATGTTTAAAAGTAAGCAAAATTAAAAAAATTTAACGCTGCATTTCTTCAGTAACTGATGCTTACAGCTTAACCTATTTTAGCTTTATTAAGGTTCTTAAAACTGCATACAGATTACCTATCTATCTATCTACCTACGTATTATCCATCTGCCTTCCTATGTACACAGACACATTGGATTCCCCAGAGCTTGCCGTGCTGCCTACAGATGGAATTGTGTTACATACATTTTTCTGTATCCTTATTTATCCATTGAATAATAAATCATGACTTGTAGAGTTAAGTCTAACACATTTATTTAAATGACTATTTATATTCCATAATGTAGACGTGCTACAATATATTTAGCGATTCCTTTATTTTTTGCAGTGAACATCCTGGTTTTTAGTTCTTTGGCATTTCTTGCAACGCTGTAGCAGTCAGTCTGGTGGGTATGTATGTCCAAAAGTGTTCAGTTAGTCACATAAACTGTCAAGAGACAGCAGACGTAAGAAATTGATGGGATTTGTGTTCATTGCAGGTGTTCATTTTACAGTGTTTGCTTATTCAGGAAAAAATAAGATAACCAAAAAGGAGATGAAACATTTCTACTCATTTTCCAACAGGACACGGACTTTTGCTGCAATGTGAGCTAAAATGAGACTTTTTTAAAAAAAAGTTTCTGATTTCATCTTGTGGTATTGGGCACATCATCAAAGGAAAGTAATCAAAATAAAAAACAAAAGCTTTCTGTTCAAGGCAAATATAAATAGAGACCATGAATGAGTTGGATGGCAAATGCTTCTTGTTAGAAAAATATTATTTTACTACAAAATAAACAAAACATTTAACGTCCCAATTCCATTTGGGAGTGATGCATGTATGCTCTGAGGCACAATTGCTCTTGCTAATCACAAGCTCAGAACTGCTTGGATCTTCACCATATTGGAGAGAAAAGTTCAAACACCCAGCTGCCTCCCACAGAGTCTATAATTAAAGTGGAAAGAGTGTAGATAATGCACAGCTCTTAACCCATAGAAGAAAAGCCCACAAGGGATGCAGAATTATTTACAGTGAATTCAAAATGTTTGTGACAAAGAGGATTCTGAAAACTTGTTCTGAAACTAAAATTTGAAGCAGAATGCATACTCATCAAAAATAGCTACAGCATGAACGTTTCTTTTAAAAAAAATATAGAACTGCTCCGAACTGTTTTCCCCACACCTACTTCACTTATCACATAAAAATGGT